AGCCAAACCTAAACCAAACATAACCAAGCCTAAAACAAACATACTAAGCCTAAACCAAACATAACCAAGCCTAAACCATACAAAACAAAACCTAAGCCAAACCTAAACCAAACATAACCAAGCCTAAAACAAACATATCAAACCTAAACCAAACATAACCATGCCTAAAACAAACAATACCAAACCTAAACCAAACATAACCAAGCCTAAACCAAAACCAAACATAACCAAGCATAAGCTAAACCTTAGCCAAACCTAAACCAAACCTGAAAATAATAACTATGGTTTTTCCTTTTGTTCTTGCCTCAACCTAAAATATTCTCTACACGAATTTTCAGTTAAATAAGCATTTAAAGTTACAATAAAAGCTATATATCCATAAGTATAAATAACATTGTACAGTCTTCCCACTCTCTTATCTCTCTTATCTTATCAAATAAATCAGCCGATTTGTTCGTATGATAACCGGTGTCGGTGTCGATTTTCCGGTTGTGTTTCAAATTAAAAACCATATCTCTATTATCTCTTATCTAAACAGATAAATCTTTGCACAAATAAATTTATTTGATTTAAGAAATTATTAAATCATAGATTTTCATCTAAAACGGTTTTGTCATTGCTATAAATATAAAAAAATATAATACACCTGATGATACCAGTAATTAAAAATTGATTTTTGCTTAGTAAATATATTGAGTAGAGAATAAAAGTATACATATTATTATATATTTAAAACATATCAGTAAAATTATAACAAAATACATAAAAATAAATAATGAACTTCTGTCATATTATACTACAGAATATATATTTATACTAATTTATTATCTCCAAGATGAAATTTATTTGGATACTTTTGAGAAGCATATAGCATATTACGATGTCTATAACTCTACAGTCACAGCAGGTGAAAACTTGCGCTATGTAAGTAGATAAATATAAATTATTTTCGTTACTATTTTTTTTTTTTTTTAACAAAAAGGATTTTGCTAAGACATAAATTTTGCGTAACTTTCAGTTTCTTTTTAATGTTTATAAAAATCTTGTAATGGTAATATTTTTAATTGTAAAATACAACTTTTTTAATATTGTGGAGTTTATAAGTTATTAACTTACTAAATTTGGTTAAATTAATTAAAATTTAAAACAAAATTATTAAAAGCTATTATAATTGAACAAAATTCATATTTTAAAAACTCTTATAAAGAGAAGGTTTATAATTGACTTCCAATAGTTCTCCGTACTTTATTAGGTACACATTATCCCAGTTTTGCATTCAATCTCCCTAAGAGATTTCGGACCTCTTCTATTATGCTTATAAATGGGATCAGTGGCGTACATTCAATCTTGCTCTGGGGGGAGGGGGAGTGGGTTGTAAAAAATAATGCTACCTAACCAGATATTTCAAAATGATAAACAATTTTTTTCCAACCAATTAAGTGATTTGTTGGAATATTTTTCCGAAAAAAACTCTATAGTTCGATTTTTAGAAAATACGAAATTTCTGGACTTTTAGTTCCGAAGATATTTTAACTCTTGCTTAGATGGCCGCCATTCCTCCACCTTCCCCTAATTTAAAAGTACAAAATTGTATATTATATTATTTTTGATAAAATTGTAAATTCCAAATTAAATACTTTGAAAAAATAATTGTATATTTTACTTATACATTTTGTGAATATTTTGACGGTTTGAAAAAATGTTTCTTTACATTTTGTTTACACGAATAAAATTTCGGGAATTTCTTTACACGTTTTTGCTCTCTGTTTTTAAATGCAATTTTGCATTTGAAATGCATTTTGGTAACTATTTTGCTCATCTCTGATAATATATTAATTAATAAAAATTAATAATGACAATAATTATTATTGTGTTATCAGTTATGTGTACATCTTCTTAAATATTTTACAGTTAACTTCGTTAACAATTAAATACTCAAACGCATACCTATTCCGATATTAAACATACGTATTTACAATCATTTTATATTTATTTTATTTTTTCTAGCTAAATAGCTAGAAAAAATACAATATCAAAACTGTACAAAACACTTGGTTATTAAAATATAATTATTAAATTATTATTTATTATATTTATTTACTTCAAGTTCTAAATTATTTCAGAGAAGTAATATTGTCATTTGTAACAGTTATACAATAAAAACCTATAATATATAACTTTTTCAAAAAAAATTTCTTGGCTCTGGGGGGGGGTTGAACCCCCCCCCCCCCCGTAAGTACGCCACTGAACGGGATGACCGTAATATTAGCTTGGTATTTAAGTAGTTGAAACCGGGGATAGGGGCGCAATGACCAACATTAGCAAATTACACCGTGTACTTAAATTGTAATTAAAAAGAGTGAAGAAATTTGCACTCCAATAATTTGTCTTTATACATTATTATTACGGTTAGGATCTATTCCAGATGTAGTATTTTTAACTATAATATACTGACAATTATTTATAATATTTCTTTTATTTCATTGGAGTTATTCGACGGTTAACAATATTAAGCTTGGATAAGCTATGGACGGGAATCCAACAAAAGGTATTATTTTTGCTGTAGATGCTGTTATGCGAGTGTTTTAATGTACATGGTAATTGGTATCTCTACTTTTTTGTATAATTAAAAATATTCTGCTGAAAAAAATGCTGCGGACATTAGAAAGTTTGTATGACACTTAAAAAAATTACTTCTCTGCACGGGATTAACAAGAAACCTAGACTGTGAACTTTTTAATTAATTCCAAAGAATTTTAAAAACGCAAAAGTATATAAAAAAAAGGATGAAATTAATAAAGGCAATAGCAAACTGCAATTAAAAATAAAAACATTTTTTTTTAGAGAGAATGAAAGACAGTGACAGCCAGCAATAAATATAAGCTTTAGCGTTTCAATATTGTCAAAGCTATTACATTACTTCATGTTTAAGTACTATTTTAAAATTTCCCACAATACAGGAAACTAACACTATTTTTATATACTATCGAGTAATGAATTTGTGATTTTTCGAATTCCTCACATAAAATAAATACCAATAGTATCAAACACAACTATAATTCTTTTCGTAGCTGCAAACAGTTAAAGTATAAATAATAAACGAAAACTTGGTGTTATTTTTATTTACGTGTGCAAGAAGAGAGCTCAAAACTCATTTGCCAGAAATGTTTAGCATAAGATTTACCTTATACAATTACAGTTGTACTGTTTTGTATACATTTCCATTACAAAATAACTTGGTAACCTATTCAGTTTTAAATGAAATGTATAAATTAAGTAGCAGTACGTACCCAAACTCAGTTTGAAGTCGATTTTACCACGTATGTTTATGTATAAATATTATTGCCTGTGTTTTCCGCAGAGCTGACTTTTAAATTTGTTGTTTATTATTTGCTTATGTAAAAAAATATCAGCTAACTTTTCAGTCCATGGGTTAGGTTAACCCATAAAAATGGGTTTGTACAGTATTTTTGGAAGCTTTTCTTGTATTTATTTGCTATAAAATATAAACATACTTAGCAATGATTTGGTCGGCTCCAATACACTAGTTACTACTCAGTCCAAATAAATATTTCTACAATGACTTAAGACAGTATCTAACTCGGTGATCGACGCAAAAAATATCATACTTGGATTATTCACTTCACAATGAAAAATCGCAAATAGACATACAAATAAATAAAATAAAATAATTTTATAAGAAAAAATATACATTTTTATCTATTTTTTTGGTTTATTTAAAAATGCTAAGAGAGATAAGAAATTAAATCACATGTTTTTGATATTGAATAACGACATAATGAGTTTGCTAAAACTTTTATTACACAATTGAGTAATATTTTATTATTTTCTTTCATGTTTATATTGCGTTAGATCTAAGATTTAAGTGTGTAACTCCAAAAAGTTTCTTTAATTATAGTTTTAAAGTTTTTTGGACATATTGTACAAAACATTTTTCATAATCGATTGACCAAAACTAAAACTATTATAGCCATTATAATATTAGTAGATATACTGGTACACAATTCATTTAAAACATTCTCTACACAGCAGATTTTAATAATATTTAAAAACTAGTTGATCTGCCGTACTTTGTTCGGGTTTTCCGAATTGCCTCCAATTAATTTTATATTTTAATCGTTCAAAAACACGGCATTACCATTGAATAAAAATACATAATGTTTAATTTTAGATTTATATACTAAAATAAAAGACGAATCGACGTTCACTTTTGAATTTATTTTCTTTGCTTATCTAATATCATCGAAGCAATTACATATTATGCGGCATTGTTACATTTTAGCTTATGGCTAACGTTTGAAAAAGGACGAGTGGGCGCTTTTATGAAATAGTAACAAATTTGTGGCGATTTCAACAAATTCACCGGCGCTGGGTATAACGTGATAATCACCGTTACATTAATAATATGTTTGTGAGGAAACAAAATGAAAGCGATAAAACGAATTCCGGCAATGTCTTTCCAATGGAGACGACGTATTATTATACAGGACGCAATTCTTTCGCCTGCCTTATTTCTTTCTTTTACTTTGTTTTTATCGCGTTTCGGACGGATTTATCGCCAAACGACCCCGCACAAAGTACCACGACCCTTCTATTGTTTGCCGGAAAGTTTGTCTCGCTGCCGAGCTTTTACCCAAAGTAGAAATCGCGGATTTGGTCGAAATTTCCCCACTAAAAACGCCCATAAACCCACGAAGGCCATAAACTTGGTGTCACGCGCTACTCCGGATCGTTAGCACTGTCTGTATAACTACACACAAAGTGTGTGTGTGTATGGAATATAATAATAACAAAAACAGCATTTATAACGGCGCCGCCAAGGTATGTGCGCGTGGAAAGGGTTGTTGCGAGCAAACAAAACGGCTGCGGATATCACGTTTATATAATATAATAAAATATACTTTAATAATCCCACGAGGCCGTATTATCGGATCTGCTGCTTTTACACGGCAACAATAAGAACTCTGGCAAACACTCACCTATCTCGCAATAAGTGCCTTCGTAGTTCCTGTCCCGGCACTCGCATTTTGGCCCAAAGTCCGTGGATATGCATATCCCGCCGTGCTGGCACGGGTCGTGTTTCTCGCAAGCGTCCGGATTGCCCCTTCGATGACTGGCCGGCCCTCTGTTGCCACCGCTGACCTGCAATAACAAACAAGTCATTACTATTATTATTATTTATACTACATAAAATAGTAATACTTTAATGGGCATATAGCACCACGGCATACAAGGCACGCGCAACTTTATTACCTACTCTTCTTTATTTCCTTCGCGTCCACGCCCCTCCATTGTTAAATTTACTTTCTTTGTGATTAAAATTGCGATAAAAAACAACCCGAATCTAAAAAGTACAATCTCATAATTAAGCTAAATGAACACTGAAGTTTACTATTGTCCACAAACGAACACGGATTCATGTTGACTGTTAATGTTATACGACCGTTTCAAAATTGTTTCAACGTGCTCTACAACTGGCTACACAATAATATACGGTATGCCCGAGGTACAAACATTATTTTGACCGTATATAATATTATAAAGCGAGCAGTAGTTATTGTTTATACGTCTTATCTATAGAACCCTTACAAATACATCACCTTTCTTGTTTGGGTTATTATTGTTTTTTTTTTGGTTCACAAGTGGAACGTGTGGATGATATTATTGTATCAACAAAATATGTTTTCTAGTTTAGAAGACCGACGTATATAGCTGCTAAAACAATATCTTAAGTTATCATCAAAACTTGTACTTATATAATAATATATATAGTTTTCAAAAGTCAATATACAAAATGTCATCAACGAAATGCCTATCGATCGATTCCACTGGCGGTCAAAGAACGACGTACGTACTTACCAACAGTTAATAATTTAATTTAATAACAAATCGCTTGGGTTAATAATATAGAAACCACGACTATCATCCAATTCAATTGCAGTTAAAGAAAAACAATCAACTGCGCTTTTGCCGTGTGTGGCTATAATATGAGAATGCTTGGGTAGTTAAAATCCACTCAAATATTATTTCAATGGTCTAAAACAAAGTCTAAAAACAATAGCCTCGGAGCTATATTGTCTATTTTATTTCAAACGTTTTTTTTATGGGGGAGGGGCTGTTTAAATACCACAGTGGATAAGTCTACCCTAGCTTTGCCCCTCTTAATATATTCGCCAAAGGCTTTTGTGGTGTTTTATTAACGATAGCAGTATTGCGGTTATGGATTTTTTTTTATTTTCAACCGTTTCGGTTTCTGTATGACGCATTGTGTACCTCGACTGTGGATGACGCGTTGTCAATTCCATAAACTTATATTTTGCCGATGGCCGACAGATGAAAATCGCCACTTTTGCAACACGCGAGTGTGTATGAAACTTCTCACTCTCCGCACAAAAGACCTCTATGCTGTGCGAACACCGCACTCAATAACGGTGGCAATTTCTTGTGTCAAAATGAAATGCGAATGTGAGTTCTTATCTGGCACCCGCGCAGACACACTCATCCGAATGCTATTATACGACATCCAGCGCGGCGTACCAGCGAGATCCGGCCGGGTGGTCGTATATTATAATAATAATATCATGCTCTATAAATATATATATATATATATATATATATATATATATTTATTAGGGAATACATTATAATGTGTTACTTTAGCGTCGACAATGCTCGGATGTTCGATACTGACATCGTGATAGTTGCGTTTTGAATATTATTCTATTCCGAAACGTTTGTTATGCGTTTCCGGAAACCGTTAATTAAAAAAAAAATTGAAATACGATTATCGTTGTACCCAGACAGAGTTACTATAATATAGTATATATATTATTATAACAGCTATTATTGTATTCAATTATATTTAATTTAATATACCTACTTGAAATATATTTTAATGTTATTTGGATAAGCATATCGCAAGTACCTATACTGCAGCTGTTAAATAATATTATAGTATGTTTTTTTAACAATACATTTTTTGTTTTGTTAATATACTTTGATGATAAATAAAATGCCTTTTTTTTTTGTTTGTTGCCAAATTCATGGCTTATAATATAATGATTTTGTTTTTAAAGTTTGAAATTTTGTATAAAATGATTTCAATATTGCTTTCACAAATGTCTTATATTTTTTTTTTCAGCATATTATTGATAGATATTAAACGAACTTATTTTATGTTAAAAGATAATTTGATGCATTTCAATCGTTATCAGTTATTGGTCATTCCCGTAAGTCTAGATTTAAAATTTTAAAGTTAACCTGAATTAGGCGAAATGAATAAACCTTAAAACAACTAACCACAATATTTTTCCTTTTTTGATTAACCAACTGGTTTTATCAATTGTGTTAAACCCTGAACATAAAGACTAACGTAGGGGTAAATGTAGTATTAAAGTTATTTATGTTTTACAAAAAGTATTTGCTTATTTAATTGAAAAAAATGTTTATAAAATATAATTGCCGTAATATATGGTAATTTAAACGTCCAGTTCATTTAACTAATCAAATTAGTTTAAAGTCGACTCATTCCACATATTTTATCTATTGATTGATTAACGTGAGTACAATACATACTCTCTAGTTAGTTTTAATTCCCGTACTCCGTAGAGCTGTACTGCTGTCAAATATATTTGTTTAAATAATTTGTTTTTTAGCTGATGAAATAATTCTCATTTTATGTGCAATTATATAGTTTAAATGAATTAATATAGAACGAAAATGACGTTTATTGCTTGTTTTTCAGCGAATTCGTTTTAATGAGTTTTGCGAAGTCGTTAAAAATTAGTCCGCTGATTTCGGTTTGGTAGTTTTTCTGAAAATTAAAAAAACTACATTAAAAAACTACGTTAAAAATCAACTTAAGTGGATAAAACTTAAAAGTACAACTACCTATGTAACACAAGATAGTAAGACGATACAAACATCGATGGATCAACGTGTGAGACACGCGGACAATTCAGTATTTATTGAAGCTTTTCTTTGTTAACTTATGAATCCAATAAAAGTGCGTACATTTACAAATGTTTTTATTAAAAATATACAGAAATTTCCGTTTTCCCGTGTTATTTCATCGTTTTGCATTGCATTTGTGGTTAGCCGTTATTCGCGGTTGTATATGACGTATACTTAAGAAACCTTTAGAAACATCCAGTTGAATTGTGCAAACGGATATTAGGTTAAACTCGAGAACAAGAAGAGACAGGCGGGTAACGGATTTGTGCGTAACACTATGAAATTCACTCGCCTAACGAATATAATTCAACTTATTACAACTGCAGACAGTAAAATACCAACTCGAAGATGTCGAAAAGTTTAAGTACACATTTAAAACCTTAACAACTTAACGGGGAATGTTCGTCTCTTCGGCACAAGTTTTCGCGCCAGTCGGTTTTCCGTGAACCGCTGTTTTCACGTCGACCGCCCGTCATTTCGGTTGAATCGTTATATAGCTGACCTTTGTGTGGGAAAAAAGGAAGAAGCACGCTCGAATTCACACAATAACGCAGTTAAACGACTTGGTGGAAAATTGCCATAATCGACCGATCATCATTTCCTTCATTTTCCGAGAACGAGCAGATAAGATTTCGTATTATTTTACATTACTTATTATGTAAACGCTAAAAGACTAAAAGTTATGATATTATAATGGTCGATTCGAAAAACTGAATACATTATAATATTTTTGAGCCACTATAATGCATATTATACTTGTACCGTAAACGATATTATAAAGTTTATAGCAACAGTGCAACATGAAAAAAACCAACCAACTTTCTAATCTTGGCACTAGGTAAATATGTACAAGTCCGGACACTGTTATCGCATAATTTGGAAAACTTATATTATTAGCATAATACGGTCGGGTAGCTGGGGCAAACTATATAATCCAAAACCACGTCTTGCCGGTACTCGAACTACGGACACGGGTAAATGGATATTTGGTAATCTTTTCCTACCCAAACAACTGCTTAGACCTATTTGAAATATATTAACAAAAGCTATTCGCTCGGTATGCCATTAAGTCGGGCAACGTAGCACTGATAACACCACAATTGACAAAAACCGGGTTTTAGAATAAGATTGCTACTTCGCCCATATTTTTTTTAGCTTAAGATTAAGATTTTGCGGAAAAATGTCTAAATTTTACTCTTTAATAATTGGGTGGATAACGTCCTGTTAAATTCAACATTTTTAACAATACTCTTCAATATAATGTATGAATATAGATGTTTGTTAAGGAAATTGACATTAGTATACAAGTAAAATATTATGTAATCGAATTTACAGGAATTTTTTATGAGATTCCTTCGTGTACGCTTTTTATTAACAGTGAACCGAATTCAGGTTAATAATTCCTGCAGTAGGCGGTATGTTAGACATTTGAAAACGTAGTCCAAAGCAAAAAAAAAGAATAGATTGCTATAAGAAAATGTATTAGAACTATTAATTTTTTATTTTATTTCGGTTGTCATTAGAAATATATATATATATATATATGATTAATTTTAGCAGCTGAAATAATGGCACCGCCTTTATAATTACACTAGTTTTAGATGTATTAGAAATAACAATCGTATAACAAATACCAACAAATTTACCTGTTTTTAGCGTTTATAAATAGCAATAAGAATATAGCCTTAACGGTAGGTACCATTATTGGCGCAGTAATTCATTTCATTTCCAAGAACCAGTGACCGTTATTGTACTCCGAGTGTCTTCCAGCGTTTAGTGAAATACAATTAAAACGGTTACAATTGCTCGGTCTAATTCGATAATCTTGACTTTAACGACCGTCCGCCAAATTATACTCATAAATAATTTAATTCAATAGGCCGCAAGAGTCGTGGGTACGGAAATTGGTTTATCCTGCCCAACTATGATGTGTTGTAATCTGATAACAGATTAAATGCATGCCACGTGGTATACACATAAACTTAATCAGTAATGCGGAAATCTCATTGTCGCAGTGCAAGTAATCATAATAGAGTTTCGAAGAATAATTAATCGTTTCGGTTTTTTCATCAATACATCTAATACTGTTTGGAAACTCAAATGAAAGTAAGATAGTATTCTCAGTTTGATACGAAAAACGTCAGATTAATGCGATTAAAAATAATATTATATAAATAAGCAGATCAATA